TTTTTTTTTCCTTTTTTTGGCCTTTTTCCATTTTTCTTTTCTCTTTAATTCTTTGGTTTAATCACTACTAGTTTTCGGTTTTCTGTGTCCTAGAGCCGAATTGTAAGCCCAGAAAGAAAGAAAAAGAAGCATCCACAACCAAAATACATGGCATTCTCTTCTCCACAACACCACCGGTTTCTCCCTCACCTTCACCCTCTTCTTATCCTACACCCTTCTCCCTCCTTAAAATGTACACCCTCGCCTTACGCCACCCACCGTGCTTCTCCTCCTCTCCTTCTTCTTCCATCCCCTCATCCCCTCCTTGCAATTCTTTCCTCTACAGCTTCAGACCCAACAAGCGCTTCCACTTTCTCAAGCCGTGTTCTTTCCTCAGGCAGACTAGGAAGCGGGAGTCCCTCCAGAAGACTCCCACCAGCCCTCCCCAGAGTCTTCGGTGGTTCTTGAACCCCAAAGGTGGTGATGACGATGAGAAGCTCAAGGAGGGTGGTGATGGGGAAGGAGGTTTGGAAAGGAACACTGCCGTTAAAGGTACCATTTTGGGTGGAGTTTTGTTGCTGGGGGCCGTTGGTGGGTTTGCGGCTGTTGGGTATGTTTATAAGGACCAGATCAATGCTTTCTTGAACCAGTTTTCCACATTTATTGAAGGTAATTCTCTTAAGAATTTCAGACCCTTTTCTCAATTAATGTAAAATTTTGTTAGTTGGTCTCAGAAATTTCTTCTGCTTATAATGATATTGTCCATGTTTTTGCTGCTTTGGTGTTTATTTGCTCATTGATTTTGGGATTTCATTTTTTTTTTTTTATTGTGTTGCAGAATGAGTGACCAGTTCTAGGTTCCATTTGAATTTGGTTTGCATCTTCATTGATGAGCATTAGAATCTCTATGCTTATGGTTTTTAATTTCTATAGAGGAATGTCAATTGATATGGTGAATGATCATAAGTTTTTTATCTATCACCTTATATTTGCAGAGAATCAGTCTGTAAATTTATATTTTACATTAACTTGTTCTTGGGAACTGTGCATTATGGTATGCTAAAGTGCCATGCTCTTGACTCTTGAAATGGCTCCTCTGCAAAGTGGGAAAATTCTTTAGCTGATAATATGGTCTTCTTCTATACATGTCCTATAGCTCTTGTTCCATTTGGCCTTTGCTGGAATTCTTCAGATAAAATTGTTATTTTACAATGCTCTTCTGATTTCTTTTGTTTTCACTAAGTATGCACTTCATTATTATAAATTTTTAATGCCAGTTTCTGTGCATATTTTATTGAACAGGCTATGGCCCCGCTGGTTACGCATTGTTTGTAGCAGTTTATGCTGGGTTAGAAGTAAGCTTCTATGCTTTTTTTTTAGCTTCTTGTTTCATCTCTTTCATTTATTTCTTTTTCAGTCTTTGGTATTTTGTAGCTTTATGGTAGTGAATGGTACCTAATAATAAGTGTTTAATTTCTACTAGAATTAATAAAGTTGAAGATTAGGTGTTTCTGCAAAGATCATATTTCTTCAAGATAATCATCTGATTAGTTCAAGATACATGTCTATTCTCCACCCCCCCCCCCCCAAAATTCTCCCATGCTATGATTAGTTCAATGCAAATTCATTATTCCTTTCGTTTTTATTTTATTTTATTTTATTTTGTTTTGTTTTTTTTTATCATATTGTAGGTCCTTGCAATTCCTGCTATTCCGTTGACCATGTCAGCTGGTCTTCTTTTTGGCTCTGTTATTGGCACCATTATTGTCTCCATCAGTGGAACAGTGAGCTTCTTATTTTAATTTTTTTTAAAGAGAAAACTAGAAAAGTACAACGGTAATCATATTCACTCAAATTTAAGTTCCCAACTCTCCAAATTTTTTAGGTGGCAGCAAGTGTTGCCTTTCTGATTGCTCGATATTTTGCTCGTGAGCGAATTCTTAAACTGGTACAAGGAAATAAAAAATTTCTTGCAATTGACAAAGCAATTGGAGAAAATGGCTTCAGAGTTGTCACCCTTCTTCGTTTGAGCCCTTTGCTTCCATTTTCTCTTGGAAATTATTTGTATGGACTGACATCTGTGAAGTTTGTGCCATATGTGTTGGGAAGGTATGATTCTTTAATCCAAATATCATGCTCGTTTGCTCTCTATGTTGGTTGTGTTATTGTAAATGTGATGTGTTTTTAGTTGTTTTTACTAATTTTGAGATTGGTTTGTCTATGTGATTTTATGCAATCACCTGCTATGCATCCTAAATAGAGATTGATTCTTTAATTCATGCATTGATTGATTCTTCATACTCTTGTTTGAAGCATGTTGGAATGTAATTATGATGACTTGTGATTGAATGGGAACATGGCTTGAATGTCATTATGTATGTGGTTTGCGTCAAGTTTGTACAAGTGGTAGCTCCAGCTTGTCAAATCTTCTCTATGTCTTCGTACCATTTCACAAAAACAATATAATGAGAATGTAAGCCCACAAGGTCCTGGTTTTATAGCTTTGGGCACTGTTTTTCCCCTATTAAAATTCTTCTGTGGGATTTTCAATTTATCCACAAAAGAGGGCTTCAAGCTTTTAGGAAAGAAGCAATGTTGATTTTATGGCCACCACCTGCTAAAATAGTTTGAATCTTCAATTTCAACGAGAGTCTCATGATTTTATAGAAGAGAAAAAAGACTGAGAGTCGCTGTTTAGCATATGGATTATGTCTCAGTTTGAAAAGAAGTCTCTGAAGTCTTGCAATAATCACTTCCATTGATTGGAATTCATGCAATAAGTGTATTGCAGTTGGCTTGGGATGCTTCCAGGAACCTGGGCTTATGTTAGTGCCGGTGCATTTGGCCGAGCAATAATTGTGAGTAACTTTTTTATTTTTTATTTTCTGGAACTGATAAGTAACTTCTTTTTTTTTTTTTTTCAATCTTTCCTTGTGTTGATTTTGACTTGTGAATTATCTCTATGATTGGAATTTGGTTTTGGGCTTTAGATCAAATTTCCAAATGAATGAGTTGAAACTTGAAACAGTTATAGTCATCATATAGGTGTTTTCTATTACGGGTTCTGCAATAATGCTACTGGAATAATTATGCCATTGTAAAACTTATAAGCAGCTTAGAAGGAATTAGACCAGGTTACAAACTCTACATCGTAAGACTACTCATTTGACTCAAGGCCAACTAATAGTTTGTTTATCGTCTTTCAATTTTACTGCCATTTTCTATGTTTCTCCCTGAGTTGCTTCTAATTATTCATTCATGCAAACGATAAGGATAAATAACAAGCAAATGCTACTTAAGTGCTCATTTTCTTTTGACTTTAGTCAGATATATCATGTACACAGCCTGATGGATGTATTTTATTATTAACTTCATTAGTTTGCATTTGGGAAATTTTCAGCAAGAAGAATCAGGTATTGCTTTGGGTGGTGGAAATGGTCAGTTATTGACACTCGGGTTGGGACTATTGGCTACTGCTTTGGCAGCAGTTTATGTGACTCGGCTGGCAAAGGTAAGGCCACATAGTTTCTATGTAGTTACTGATTTCTAATGTCCTTGGACCTTTGTGGTATAAACTAGTTATCAAGTATCAAATGTTTATTATTGTCTTGAAAGTGATCCGAGCTTAACAAGCAAGCTTTCAAGAGTTCATTGGGATGGTAAATCTGCACTAAACGTTTTTTAGCCTCATTTGGACATTATATGATCATTACCTAAGCCTGAAAAGCATGATAGATACTTAGACTTAGTTTAACAATGCTGGCATGGAATTGCAGCTGCAGGTCTTTTTGATCCTTTAACATCTCAAAAATATATAAAATATGTTTAATATTTATTTTAATTAACATTTTGTATATTTTTAAAATAATAAAAATACATAAAAACTAAAAGCTAAAGCACTGGAAATCGTTATCAAACAAAGCCTTAAGGGGTTGGCCAGTGCCGGTTACCATATCAGACCTTTATTTTGTCTCCCTTTTTTTTTTTTTTTTCAATAAATTATCTGATTTTTTTACATTATTGTTTACCATGATGGTGCAGGATGCTGTGAAAGATATTGACTAGTACATCATGCCTGCTGCATTTTTTTACCGATCAAGAGGGTAAAACTATGGTTGTCATTTGTAAAATTGACAAATTGGTCAATTGCACTACAGCATGTAAAATTGTAATGTACATCACAAATCCAATAAAATAGAAAGCCATTTTTAACCTTAAGACTTGTTGGGACTTCTACAATCAATAGCATCATTTTACATGAAGTCATAGGCCAAAAGTAAACTATGGCTTTACTTGATTATTTACTCTAAACTCAAATCTGAAACAAAACTTGAAATTTCAAGATTTTGAGGCCTCTCAGTCTACATTACAACTACTCATTGGTAAGTGCTAGCAAGATTCTCATAATGGAAATTACAGGCAAGAGAAATTGAAGACCCCTTTAACAAGAAATTATAAACCATCTTATTTTCAAAACACACTTTCCTCCGGCCATTGTAGAGTTTTGAGGCAGTGGAGAGTTAACATCATTAACTGTAAAATTCCCAATAGAAGCATACGTTTCCTTTTTCTCAAAATAATCAACTAAAGAATGGATGGATGAAAATTCTAGAGACACAAACTCAATGCTTAGAATCTTTTTCAGACAAACTGACATTCAAAGATGATAATCCAATGGTATCAGGACTTCTAAGCTGATCAAGTTGTTTCTTACCACGGCGAATCAGATATTCTATGTAGAGGAAGTTCTTGCGGTCTATTTGCTTGGAATTGCAGCGGAACTCACTAGTGACAATTGACTCAATCCGGTGTCGCTCTTCAGGAGGCTTCAAACGAGCTGCTCGTAAAAATTCCCTGAATAAACTAAGTACTTGTTTCTGCATTCCCGAAAGTCTTGGCCCCTTCTTACTAGCCATTGAATATTCAGACGAATTACTCACCAGATTTGCCTTTCCAAAATCCAAACTTTCTTCAGTGTTCTGGCCGAAAAAAGAAAAAAAAGAAAAGAAAAAGGCTTCATATCATTGAATAAAAGGAAAACTCCAATTTACTAGTGACCGTTCTATGATTAAAAATAGTCATGAAAGTGTATAGGCAGCTTGAAGGAAACTATAAGTGCACATAAAGAAAATTGAAGAGACAAGCTCACTTATGAGTGAAAAATAGATGAAGGAAGAAGAAAATAGAGATAGAAACATGGTGACATGATAGCCTTAAGGTATTAACTACTGATAAAGATCACTTGATATTCATAATAGCTTTCGATATTTAACAAAATTGATGGGTGAGAACAAACTTCGCAGTATATCATGCAAATTAAGGTGTTCTTCAGAAACACATCATGATTCGTGGGGTGACAATTTCAGTACCAAGAGGCAAAGTGGCCTAAGGACCTATGGTAGAAACACACAACACAAGACATGATAAACACGATACCAGCGTCTAGACTGACTTTAAGAAAGGATGGGAAAATGCAGAGAGCAAGGTAAACACCAGTTGGTCATGGTGTAGGAAACAGAAGCCCTTTTGAACCCCTATTACTGGAATCCTTGTATCTAAAAGGCATGCAGTCAAGTTTATCTATCAAAACATTTATGTCAATATAAAATCAATTCAATGTCAACAGTTCAACCACTTGGGGCTATATAAGTTCAATAAATAAATCATGAAATCAAGTTTTTTATTTACATGCAGAAAATAAATATGTTTTCTGTCATGATATGCCCTTTTCTTCCTTCTTCTTGGGCATGCCAAAAATGAATTTAGACTTTATTAGAAGAGAAATAAACTGATTCTGTAAAAGTACACAGAGGTGCTAAAAATGGTATTTAATTTTGAAGCTTGATCTTCTTTGGCACAACAAATTTGTGGGTCTCTCATTTCTCTAACAAATTTGTGAGTGATAATGAAAATGAACTTCTTTTACGTGAAGTTCAAAATCACTTACCAATTGTTCAGCAATATAAAAAATTCTTACAAGACTTTCATCAAACAGAAGGTGGGCATTCCGTATGCAACCTAAAATTACATTAAAAAACTAATCCATAACCGTACAATTCTCTTCCCAATTTCGACATTCGCGAAAGATGGAAGAATCTACAAGGGAAAGTGATAAATGAAAAATCTTTTGGGAACCCTAAATATCAAACCAAACGACTTCCCAGTAAAGTCTTGGAAAATCATAAGTTTAGAAAGAATATACAGTGAAGAATAGGGGTAATTGAATAAAGAAGATTGCAGCATTAGCGTAGCGTACCTTGTGAAATTGCAGAGAGAGGAAGAGTGCCTGGCAAAATATTGGGTACACAGATCCTCCTGGGAAAATATGCACATTTAAATGTACTAATTGTGTCCTGTAATTTTCCTTGCAATAAAACTTTTTTTGGTAGTTTATATTATATAAATTTCAGCGCAAATCTAAGTTTTCGAATTCTTTTTTCCTTTAAAAAAATAAGTTGTATTTTCAAGTTGATTTTCAGGAAATGTACAGGAATATTTATGAAAAAAATTATATAAGGAAGACGTCCTTATCGTTGAGCAGGTAAGGTTTAAAAAAGAGATAATTATCTTATTGCATAAAATTAAATTATATAAAAAAAATTTATTAAGAATATATAAATAAAGTTATAGACATTTTACATAATTTTTTTACAATTTAAATTGAAAATTATATTTCAGAAAAGTAATTGTGAGTTTAATTTCATTTAGCATACATTACATCTCCTCTCTCAAACTTTTTTTTTTTATTTAATTTTTTGAATATTTTAAAATTAGATTGTAAGTCTTTTAAACACATGAAATCAATGTACATACAATAAATAAAATGAGTAACCAATTTATGTACAATTTCTAACATATCTGTAGTTCATAACAAAGTCCCCACTTCGCCTTCTTATTTTTTTTTTATGGTAAGAAATTTCAGAAAAGGAAAATCTGAGTATAAAATCTAAATTTTAGATGTTCAAGCACTTTTCGCATTGGGGTGACCAGTAAACCACTACGTGCTGGACAAATCCCACTTTGCATTTGTGTACACTAGAGAGTATAGTGGGAACATCGACCTGCTTATGAAACTGCTATTCAGTGACTGACTGCTAGTCTGCTACTAGCATTCTTCAGACAATAATCGGCTGCACCACAAACTTTCTTTCCATTCATTCCTATGATTCCGAGACCAATCGTGTAATAACAAAACATCTCCAAATGCATACCATGGATAACATTAGCATATTAGGGGACATGAGATGGGCTCAAGGGTTCTTCAAGAATTTCTTAGCTTTCCTTGACAAGCTTCTAATCATGTTCCTGTCAGAAAATGTCAATGGAAGATCTTCATCAGGACCCTCTCTTTGATCAGACCAGCCTGCAGAACCGGTCTCATCTTTTGAGCTGCCCCTGATGGATTCCTCAGGTGAGTCAGGATCTTCAGGTATGTCTCGATACAGGTGTTTCAAAATGAACAGAGCAGTATCATTATCTCTCCAATAATTCCTGCACAACCAAGGTTTACTGAATAAAAGAAGAGGAGAATTTTTCAAAACTGAAAACTAAGCAATATCATGCAGGTTCAAAGTTATTCATTCACCACCCCAAATTATTCTCACCATAGAAAAGAGAGAATAGAAGATATTATGGAATCTTAGAATTGTTTGTGATCCAAAACATTTCATTCTTGTACTCAATCATAAAAAGCAAAGCACATTTTGTTAATTTCATATCACATAGTTTCACACTGCCAATAGCATGCGTTTATGATGTGAAAAAACAAGTAAATCAAAAACGAGTGCATGGTCATACTCAAATGGACCCTGTCAATGAGGGCTAAATGTAGAAATAATTTCAACAATAAGAATCATATTGTCCAAGCTGAATTCCGGTAATTTCAAGTGCTAAAATAATAGGCTCAAGCTGGTTATCTCAAAAATCCAATGGTCGGTATGCAATAGATGTGAGAGAGACAGAGAAGTTCATGACCAAAAATGACAAGTTTTTTCATTTTCCACTCTTTCAAACTTTTGCCTTTTTTGGGTGCTTGCATGCTCCTGAAGTCATAATGATGGTTTACACACACCAAGCAATAACAATCCAAGAGTGCGTATTATAAATATTTTTGTTCAGAATGCTTACGTGTGTGCTCCAATGGCTTGTAGATATGGATGTTCAAATGTTTTATCCTGCATAGTCAAAAGGGAAAAAAAATCAGTTAAGTTAGCAATATATGATGCCACTGATTGTAGATGGCGGCAATCTTTGCCTTCCCCATGAAACTAATCTGGATGAAATAAGAAAAATATAAAGAGAAATAAACAAGAAGTAAAAACACTTTCCATTTTCTCTTCTAACTTTTTGTGAAATAAAGCTCATAACTAATTTTTGATCCGTAACTATTTAAAACACCAGCAGCAAGAGGCTTCAAAGTCCAGGTGAGAACATTGACACACCACAATTTCCTAATCCAAATTATCATCCTTGTTACCCCATTTTAGTAATTTAGATAAGGTGGACTCATACATCATACACTTCAATTGATCATGCTAGACTACTGCCAGCAGAAGGACAGGATAACAAATGCATTCACATGCACGTCTTGTCATGATCACATGCAAGCAGACATATACTGAGAGAAATGGACATAAACTGGCATTGAATTGTACAGCTACGCACTTGAAGCATATGATCTATCCGCCCTTCTTCACTTCCAGTTAACCTCTCCATCATTAAAGAACCATAAGATCTCTCTTCTTTTTCTTCTGAATTCTCTACTCCATCTGTAATTAAAATAAAAAAAAGGAATTAAAATGATAAAGAAATTAATCTAAGAAAATATTAAGAAAAAAATATTTTTTACAGACTAATTTCCAATTTGGAAGTGGTTAGGAGGAAGCTAATCCCACTCCGCTTTTCAGTATGACTTTATGTATTCAAGGAAGATAGCACAAAAATTAAATAAAAGAAATCCAGACGGGAGAGAAATTCCTATTACCCTCTACGTCGTCACCGTTTTTAGACTGGCAAAGTGAGAGAATTTTATTCTGATAAAGAAACATAGAATATCAACATTAGTGGTTTACTAAATATGATCAGAAACAGATCAAACATGGGAATTAGGAAAGTGCCATTGGAGTGTCAATGAAAACAACCTAGACTTTCTGAGAAACAAAATCACAGATTATAGACTCAGAATAGAAATAAAGGTCTACTAACAGAAACTTCTTAATTAATTTCCATATTTTCTCTATTCATCCAAATATAATTTGGAACTTCAATTGCACCAGAAACCAAGTGCCGAATGACATATCATGCAAATGAGTTTAATGGCAAATCCTAGCTTGGCCAGTTAATGAAGAAAAAGAATAACAGACAAGCAACAAACAGAACAACCAAACAGCACTAAACCAAAACAGACTGCTAACAGTTATACACATGCATTTATTACTTACAAGAAGAACCAAGGATTTGAGCTGGGAACTCCAAATACAGAATCAAGAAGTTTTGTGGAGATCCATAATTTTAGAGTAGTTTTTCTCATGCAAATGATTTTATAGAAACTGAACTAGGAGAAACAACTAAATCATGATCTCTTTTAGTTCAAATCGTGTGAAGAGAAGAGAAAAAAAATCAACATGCATATAGAAAAAGAGAGAGATATTAACTCTGGGGAGTCTAGTAGAGCCCACCCGTATGACTTTCAGATGATCCCTTATTGCTTGAGAACGGGCACCTAAATCTTCAGTGAATTCCTAATCCACAAAATATAAGCATATGGAAAATAAGGGTTCTAAAAAGGAGCAGAGAAAGCAAAAATGAAGAGTAGAATAGGAGGAAAGCAGATCATGTATGAAAGAAATCTGCTGTGAGGAAGGGAGAGTGAGAACCTATGTTCTTAGTTACGGCCCTTACCTGAAATCCAATGTGCAACCTCTTTCCACCTTTGTGATAAGGAATGATCACTGGGCGTTTTTCAGTGTATTCTTTACAAACAATGGGTTCTATTCTGCAACAAAATCCAACATAGTTTGCATCAGGATTTCCAAATTAAGGTCAATTGTGATATCAAATTAGGGAAGATACAGAGAGAAAATATGAGGTGTAAATAAGTGGTTATGTGCTTGTGTGTGCCAGAGCACAAAGAATTTGATAATAATCAATATCACCACTTCATCAATAGGACTATAATGCACAACGGTTGAAGGCAAACCTGTATGCTACAGGGTCAAAAGGATGAAAGATATTGAACATCTGACGACAATCTGGCATCTCTTCACTAATGTTTTCCTCATCCCAATATTCTTGCCCTTTTCCTGAACAAAGAAGATAAAACAGCTCAGAAATA